TCAGCTGTGTGATATGTTCCATCTTCATACTACAAGCAAGGATTCCAATCTCTTCAGATGCTCATGGATACCACAGGGAAGTTTAAGTCAAGTTGTGATTTACATAGCTTTTTACTATACATATGCAAGAATCAACACTCTGAGGCACCATACACATCATTGAGATAACTGCAGGAAAAATGTGCATTCATAATTGAAACATCAGGTTATATACATGATTTGTTTACAGATTTTAAATTATAATATATGTTATTCAGTATCTCTTTCATTAAAAAGGTAGTCCTGGCATAATTTCATTGTAACTTCATGCCACTTATCTAGTCTCAGAGAATATATCTCAGTGGATGCAGGTGCAAATACTTAGCTACGAAAATATGAGGTCATTACAGGGTCTTTGGTACTTCATCACTTCTGGTACTCAGCCTCTCCTAAGTTCTGTCAGGAGTTTAGAAGCCAAAGAGGTCCCCTTTGAACCCCATGACCCAACAGGAGGGTCTCCATGACCCTCTTGCATCTTTACCCTTTTCCATTTCCAGACTCAGTGTAAAATTATTCTAAATTGATTCTCATCCACTTTTCCTTTGCATGTTCCCTCCATGTTGTAAGAGTGAACCTTACCATCAAGCTTTGTTATGCTTTCTCAAATTTATATTAACTCTGCTTCTGTACTAGCTTTGATGGTGATCCTTTAAGTGATCTAAACTGCTCAGTCATGACAGCAGTGAGTTCGTATTATTTCTTATGTGTAAAGACAAAAAATCTTGAATAAACAAGACACCAAAGAACAAGACAGGAAACAGAGGCTTAGGACAATTTTCTGTTCAAGGGCAGTACAGCAGATCAGCAGAAGACCCTAAACTCGGATTTAGGAGACACATATTTAATGTTCCTTGTCTAGAAAGTAACACATTCCTGAAAATCTGATTTTGAGACTTAGACAGCAAACAGATTTAGACAAAACAAAACAAATGCTATGGGAATAAGGACCAAAAAGATTACGATATTAATAGTCCTCTTGTTGGTAGAGTACTTAGCTGATCAGGTTGCTCCTGCCTCCATTATGTGAGGATTTATTTAGTGATTCTTCACCTTTAATTTTAGAAGAGGTAGAGGATCTTTTGATCAGTGGTGGGTAGGCTTAACCTGTCATGGTTTTTTGTTTGTTTTATGAGGACACAAGAAAATGCAGTCTGATAGATGCTTACTACAGGTATGAATTGCTACCGTATGGACTATTTAAAAAGTTATGGACTATTTAAAAAGTGATTTTCATTTGACAAAGAAGTATCAGATTTTTCCCTTTCATTGCAGTCCTCTTTATATTTGTGTAATATTTTCAATTAGCTGTAGCTAAACATAATGATACACAATCTTTAGGTTCAAATTCAGACAATAGCTCATGCATAACTAAAGAAAACAGAATTATTTTTTCTTATCTTTTAGAAAATCTGTAGACATTTTTTTCTGTCTCTGTCACCTGAAGTTATACTGAATTTGTTCAGTATGTTCAGCTGCTGTTTCCCTGCTGTTAGTTATTTGGAAGAAAGTGTTGTCCAAATGTTTCTCTCACGTCACTGTGCATGGATGTAGTCTGAAAGGTTTATCTGCTGCATACAATACAATAATGAAGTGCTTTCGTGGCTGAGGTAAGCTGTTTACCATAGCAGCTCAGAGGATTCCTGTGGATCCCTGACCCCTTGTTGAAGATTAACCCCAAATGTTCCTATGTGCTTTACATCTATATTCCATTCATTTCCCATTACCCTGTTTTAAGTCAAGAAAATTACTTGTAGGATTGAAACAGTGATAAAGGTGGAACTTGTACAAAAGAAACATGCAGTTTGGTGTAAGATCCTGGTTCTGTGAAAAATTTAACTTCAGTTTTAAGGGAAATGCTATCAATTTTTTCTGGTTGCTATTTTAAGATGGTTCTATATAGAAATGTTACTGTATTTATTTCCTTGAAATGATATAAAGGAGTATCAAAGCTAATATGACACAGACAAACATTTAAGGGTCAGGTTAAAATAAATTTAAAAAATAATGATGGCTAACTATTTACAGTATTTTAACAGAGACATTTATTTGCCACATACTTTTAAAACCAGTATGGGATAAATAACATTCAGAATCATAAGGTCTGAATTTTTCAATTGCTTTACAAAGTAATGCCACTTAAGTTTTGCTGTTCTTCAAACAGCTAGAAAGAACATCTTTGATTTTGTCCTCTTGGAGAAAGAATGCAATGTGTTTGTGGTCATATTCTAGGGTCATCCACTAGCAATAAGAAACGTGTATTTTGACAAATGTATTGTGTAAATATGACAGCTGTAAATGAAAAACTCTAGATGTGTCATAGTCTCTATAGAAAACTGATGGAGCAGCAGGTATCATAAGTTTAAATGACTGCATACAAAGATAAAATTTTTCATTTGATATGAAAGAGTACTCTTGAGAGCCAATTTCAGAAAGGTGTAAACCATCAGATCCAGGAAGAGGAAAAATGGAAGTAGTCTGTGTAGAAATCTCAAACTTGAGAGGTATTTTATTCATACTTTTATATTCATACTTTTATTCATATTTATAAATCACTAGTATTCAAGCAATCAAGCTCAGGATCTGTTTGTTGGTGGCAGGAATAAGACTTCCTGTCAACCTGCAGTGGGGAGGTTTTAGGGTTAGAAATTTCTGCATTCCTACAGATACTCCTCATGTATAGAAAACAGATCAAGTAGACATTATGCAGTTTTACTTCAGTGATGCTTCATGGTCCCACAACAAGTTATCTGAGCTGGCACAATCAGTCCCACATATGGGCTGAAGGTTCAGCATTGCCGTAACTCAGCCTGAGACAAGTGGGCCAGTCACTGGTCTAGGTGAAAGCTATCTATCTACCCATCACTCTTTGACATACTTTCCTTTGGTTTCTAGAGGTACTCTGAAGGCAGATGCCCTCACCAGATCATTTAATCCTGAAGCCATACAAGGGATAAAGCTGATGCTAAGAAGGTGACAGGATGAAGAGCAAATGGAAGAACCAATGTGTCTGGCAGAAGCACAGTGTTACATCAGTTTAACCTGACTATGGAACAGCACACATTTTACTTCTGTGAATCAAATGATTATAACTTCTTGTTTTAATCATTTGATCTATCCTCCTTATTGCTAGAAAATGCCTACAAACCTGTCTCATAAATGTCCCTCTCTCTAATTCAGTAGATGAGGAGGAACTGCTGTAGTGGTTGTTTCTTTGTGGAATCTGAAGGTAAGGTTAAGAAAAAACATTGAGTTTGTCCATTATGCTTTTATCACGGTGGGTTTTTTTCCTTAGCATTTTAGTCCTATATGTTCAAAACCTAAATGTGGTGGTGTTTCCTTCTTCCATAGTTGTTTTATGTGCTCAGGAACTCACAGGGAGCAGGTCTTTATCCTAATCAATTTATTTCAGTAAAATACAGTAGCATTGGCTTAAGATACATTTTATATACAGAAGATTTCTATTAAATAGTCAACAGTAAATGGGTGGAAATGACATTTTGTCACCATTCTTATTTGTACAGCACAAATAGCCTTTTCTTTTCTTGCCATATGAAAATGTTGGAATATTTTTTTCTTTTTGTATGTTGTATGTGACAAGTTTAGTATATTTACTAAAGTGCTATTTTGTAACACCAGGTGCAATTTTCTAATGCTAGGATTACTGAAAGGGACAGAAAAGTAATAGGTGTTTCTTTTCTGTTTCTCTACTTGTGTTTCACACTTGACAGCACTCCATGCACAGTTCATTCAGATTTTCCCCTGGGTAGCAAATCAATAAGCCACTTTCTTTTACTGTTTGAGTCTTTTGCTCTACAACAGAGGAAAAGAAAAATATTTCAAAGTGTAGAAGCTCGCAAATATTGACAGGAAGACTCAAAGGCAGACGGACTATCAAAAATTACAACACTTAGTGGGCACACACTAGGCATGTCCAGAGTATGGGAGGGGGCAATAATGGTACCCACCCATTACCCTACCTTTCTCCTATAGGCATATTTTGTGGATTAATATATTTTGGAAAGATGAATTCTAATCCCGTATTTGTTAATAAAACTGGCTGAATATTTGCTGGTTTTTAATATGGAGTCCTACCTGTTCAGTTTCTCTCACACCTTCATTTTGGCAATACCACTGTGTTTGTCACATTACAGACTTTGCCAATACAATTGCAAGTAAATGTACACAATCATAAAGGAGGAACTAGCTCCATGTTCGTTGGTCTAGAGTGGCTATAACAGCTAGTGTGATAAAGTTATGATGTACTTTTCAGTCTTTGATGCCACTACTTTAAATATAAGTTGATTAGAGTAATAAACATAATAACTTTTTACTGTCCAAAAAAAAGGGTTTCACAACTAATCTATTTTTCCTGTTTGTCCTAAAACAATCAATAAACATGTTTTTCTGATGTCTTCCTAAAACATGTGGGATACAAGTCCACTATCACTTCAAGCAATCTGTTCTAGTCTGTTCACTCTTCTTGCAGTCAGTAATTTTTCCACTCAGGAAAGTGAATATTGCTTGTGGCTCTTCCTGCACCAGCACTGATCTTTACTCTCAGTCTTTGCGTGTGGAGCACAGGCGGTTTCTCACTGTTGCCGCAAAGTGTTCACTGCCCGCACTCTGGGAAGAGAGTAAAGAGGAGAGATGCAGTGATCTCTGGATGATCATCGGGCCTGTTGCAACCTGTATTGAAACAACCAATTTCATATGTCCTCACCTCTCATAGAACACTGTCTTCTGCAATAAAGCGAATGCGTGAGCGTCACTGATTTAATTTTTCCCTTCTAGCAGGAAAAGGGCCCTGTTTCCACGGAGGCTTCCAGCCGTGCCGGCGGCGGGGGCGGGGGCGTTTCTGTGCCTCCCCTGGGCCGGCTCGGGCCGCTGCCTGCGGCGGGGATCGCCCTCGCCGCGCCCCACGCCCCCGGTTATTGATGGTGGCGGCCGCCGCCCGCCCCGCGCCTCCCGCCCGCTCCCCCTCTCTCCCCGGCACTGCCGCAGAGGCTCCACCGCAACGCGAAGCCCACACAGCCGCTCCGGTCCGCCCCTCCTCTGGTCTGTCACGCTCGGCGGCTCCTCCGAGAGGCTCCGCTCGCTCCCTCCCGCAGCTTCACGCCGCCAGCAGGAGCAGCGGCAGCGGGAGCGGAGGGAGCAGCCCCGGGTCTCCGCCGCCTGCCCCCCGGTAAGTGGTGCTCCGGGCGCTCGGGCTGCCGCGACTGCTCGAGAGCAACTTTTCCTTTTTTTTTTTTTTTTTTTTTTTGCATGCTTGGCTTCAACTTTTTCATGGGACTTAGAGAGGTCTTGCTTGCCGGGGACGGGGTAGAGCTCTCTTGCTCCCTTCGGGGCTGGTCGGGCGCTAGACGGCAGCGCGGGGTTCCCTCTCATCCCCGCGGTGAGCGCCGTGAGCGGTCTGTGCTCGGCTGCTGCTCACTCCTGCTCTGCTCAGAGCTCGGTCTTTGCGCAGAGAAAGCTGGTTACACAGATCCGAGGAGCTACGAGCGCCTAATCTTCGCTTTAGAATCTGGCTTCTTAAAGCTGAAACTTTTGCACGCTAGGGGAGCAAAAACCAGGGGTGTCGAGGTTCACAGACTCCAGATGTTTGAGGAATACAAGTTTGCAGATGTCGTAAGAATGGTGAGGAAAACCGAAGGTGCAGAAAGGATGTCAATTCCAGTTCCTCAGGGGACCGACACTTTCCAAGATACGTTAAGGAGGGAACAATCGGCATTTCAGACCTTGCAACAGAAAAGGAGGGGAGGGGGGGACAGGATAAAACAAAGAGAATAACCAATTTAAGTGGTTTTGAGAACACTGTTGCTTTTGCCACTAGAGATTTCCTTCAAGAACTGTCTCTCACATTGACTGTGTTGAGTAAACAGTTTAGCCTTTGTGACCGGTAAGGTGTAGGGAGGGATTTCCTTCTCTGCAGCTTCGGGAAAGGAGTTCTCCAAAACATACTAAGTCCTGTTTTGCAAGGGGCTTTGGGAATTTAGGTCCCGAGACGATTCTGACATATGTGGGGAGGAGAGAACACAGAAGTCACAATGATGAAAAGTATAGCCCAAGTCCTAGGGTTAGGAAGATCCATGGGATGGTGAGACTTTTCGAGGCAACACACATCTAATTTAAAGAAGATTGCAGGGTAGAAGAGCCCAAGGAATTAAAAGAGGCATAGGAGCCGGTCTGGCAGTCCCGAGAGGAGGCAGGACGCCCCAGGGGCTGGAGGGCTGGGTGATGTGGGTAATTGAATGTGTAGATCTCTGATTGGGTTTAGGGGCCTAATCCTGCGACACACTGTGGGTGCAGTGAGAGTAGGGGACGAGGGTGGGAGCTGAGTCATCCTGGCTGGGGTGGGCACGGCACATCTGTACAGGAGGGAGGGGGCTGAGGAGAGAAGAGAAAGATGAGGAAGAAGCATATAAAGATAGGTGGGGAGGAGGGAGGCTGTCTCATCGAAAGATGCTGAGATCACCCAGGCTCCTCTGTGATTGATAGTATCCTGCTCTCCTTTCCGTAAAGGGTTAGGACGCTGCTGAGTGTGTCTCTGATGGAGAGGGGGATGGATTGCAGAGGTTAGTACAACACAAGGGAAACCTACTCAGACAAACACACTTGGTACTGCTGGTACTTGGGCTGCATTGCACTGCAGTGCAGGGAGCTAAGAGGAACTTCTGCCTTAGGAGAGAGAGGGAGCTGCTGAATTCATCTGTAAAGGTGGCACAAACTCTGCCAAAAATTACTGCTTCTCAAGGGAATTGCAGATAGAACTGGAAGTGGAGCTGAGGAGATACTGGAAGGATTTTCCTGATGAATTCACAATAAGCCACAAAGGGTTTCAGGAAAAAAACCTCCCAACATACAAGCCAAATGACGGTCTCTGATTGGATTAATTGTAAATAGTATATTTCTATTGGAAGTTTTCCTCCAAGTTCTCTAAGTGAAAGGGTCCTGTTTTAACTGTGTTGCATATCCTCCCAAATAGAAGTTTTACTTTTTTTTTCCGGGGTTGAGTTCCCTGTGAGAATGAAAACAGCAATTTCACCATCTTGTAAAATGTTTGGTTTTCCCTGTAACTGTTCATTTATTCAGTATTGTCCTGAATACTGAAACCAGCATGGTAAACAAAACCCCACCATTCCTTCCCTCTCACTTAGGCATTTTCTACAATTTCCTTGAATGATAGCTTACTATTTTGGTGTTTTATTGGGCTTTTTGTTTGTTTGTTTGGGATTTTTGTTTGGTTTTTTTGTTTGTTTGGGTTTTTTATCTGTTTCCTTAATGTGGGAGCAAGAAGTCTCACTTTTCTATATTCCAAAGAAATGAAGAATTTGACAAAATAGTCACAGTAAGTTCCAAGTGGACTTCTATTATTTGGAGAAAAGTTTTGCATAGGCCAAATACAGAGAAAAAGACAGTCAGTCAATTAAAATTATTGATTCATGTCCAGTCTCCAAACATCTTGAATTGATACTTGAGGAAAAAGAAAAAACAATAATTTGTTTAATGTCTGTATTTCTAAAGCTGTATTCCTATGGTGTTTCAACAAAAATGACCCTGAATATCAGTAGCACTGACTAAATACGTAGTTTCCCTGATGGCAATTTGATGTTAAATTATGCGTCATTGCTTTTGGGAAAAATGGATTTAAATTTGACCAAATGAAATCAAACCAAATCTTTTCTCATTATATATTTGAGAAATCTAATATCTTTTCAAAAATAATAAAGCAAAGGTGTTAGGTTTTTTTCTAAGTTCTATCAACATGCGAGAAAGATACTTGCAAAAAACAAAAATAAATACTAAAAAATGTTATGTTTACAAAACATGGTGTTACCTCAGGCGGCAATGTGAAATCTGTAACTGAATCTATGTATACCCGGGAATGTAAACTTGTGTAAATTACTTGGACAAGTGGTAAATTTCAAATTGGCTTTTTGAAATGTGTGTTTCAAAGCACAACTGACAAAAGTTTAGCCACAGTGGTCCTGATTATTCGGTTAAATCAGTGTGATTTGAATTTAGGTTTCAGTGTGAAATAGAATGCATCCAGTTATATAATTATCTAGGGTTTTAGTTAGTTGTGTTTTCTCTTTTTCTTTTCTATGTTGTTGCTTTGTTTGTTTGTGGTTCTTTTTCTTGCATGAAAGTAGTATTAACAAAAATATTTCACATTCTCAATATTATTAAAGTTGTTTCAGCACCACAGGCAGATGACTTGGGCTGTATATTGTTGTGAATCTTTGCAACCCATATGCACCACAGGATGCATATCAATGCATGTTTAAACAAAAGCTCATCAATTAGATTAAATGTGTTTGCAAACCTGTGATAGGGAACTCACAGCTGCTGCCACTGCTTTCATATGATGTAGTGCATAACATTTTCCCATTAAAACAGAATGGAGTCCTTTGTAAAATGACTCGGAGGACTAGATTTACAGCTTTTCTTCTTTTAAGTGTTTGCAAGCAATATAAAGGGGAAAAAATTGAAATTGTGCTCAAAGTATTGACGTTGCAAAGAAAAAGGTAGTTAATTTTTCCTTTTAACTTATCAAACTTCCTCAGTTTTAAATTAAATGTTTTGTATTTTCTAGTATCTTTGTTGCAAAACACGGTGGGCCTCTTTTTCCATATAGCAGTTGTTGATAATTTTAATTATCAATCTTTAATTCTTCTTTGGTTTCCTATATTGCTATACATTTCATCTAGAGACATTCTAAATGTACAGAGTGTATATTCTCATGTAAATACATATGTTACAGGTCAGTGATCTATTAGTCAGGTTTGTTTTCAAATCACCAGTTTTATGTCAGCAAGAGATAAATAAGTGTGCATGAAATATAATCAAATGTAAGTTCCTTTAGTGTGATTATTATTGAGACGTTTGTCCTCTTGTTAAAAAAAAAACAAAAACAAATGGAGGAAAGCAATATCAAGCTCAGTCCTTCCTTCTTTATGGTTCCAACTCTCAGTCATTTTCTCATCCAGAGAGGCTAATAAAAGTTTAAATGTTGCATACGCAATAAACAAAATCGCTTAAAGATGTAATGCAGTGTAATTCACTGTAATAATACTAAGATACCGTTAGCATCCTTTCATTTTTGAGACTGAATTCTTACCTCTGTTTGTCTGTGTTTCTGCTGACTGACTGCTGACAGTAAAGACTTGCTATGCGTTAGCAAAACATCAGAGACTTTCACGATTAGGTGGAGATTCCATCCAAATATTTCTAATTGGACTGAAGATGCACCATATTAAAAATACAAATGACACCTATCACATAATTTATCTGCTTCAGCACGCAAGGCATTTAGCTTTATATTGATCTGGGACTCATAAAAACATGGTGCTGCTGCAGCTTCATGTTTCCTTGCCAGCCGCAAGATTTATTTTTTTTTAAGATAAAGCAGCATCCCTGTAGCTGGCTCTCTCTTTCACTGCAGGTTATTTCGGTGGTCATGGCTGCATAGGCCTGGTTATGTGCTTTGTTCTAGAGTGGAAGTCTGAGTCTCACAAGCACGTCTTGATTTTTGATGGAAAATCCATGTTACAATGCATACCGTTCGTAGCGGCATTAAAGCATCTTGCAGGATTGTTCCCCTTTAATGATCACATGAGGGTTTGTGTAGGAAAAAGCTTCATGAGATGCATTATGGAAAATAATTATTTAATCACTATTTTAACATTTACCCATGGTAACTCTGGAATGGAGAGATGACTTTATTCACAGCACCTCACAGGGCCTCCGTATCTTTAGCTGACACCAGTTTCAATCTGTATGGAGCTGGAGGATAAAATTTGCTGTCTGTAAACATAGCAGTGCTTATCCGAAGATGTTTTTGCAAAATGTATTCTACCATCCCCACCTCCCTTAACCATAGAGGGTTTTGCTTTTATCTGGCAATCACAGCTGTTGTTGCAGCCTTACAAACAGTGGTTGCCTGTACTGTTCCTAAGGCTGAGAAATTAATGACTTCTTGGACCAGAACTGTCCATGGGCCAGCAGCATGTTCTGGTGGCCGAGAATGCCAGTGGTATCCTGGGGGGCATTAGGAAGAGCATTGCCAGCAGGTCATGGAAGGTGATCCTGCCCCTGTACTCAGCCTCAGCAAGGTCTCCCCAGGAGCACTGTGTCCAGTTCTGGACTGAGGACCAAAGAGGCATGGAGCTCCTAGGGTGAGTT